GTTACAAAAATCCCAAACCTTATGCTGGGCCATAGCATGGTTTGCAGAAAGCATGGTTCTTTTCGTTTAAACTGAATGGCCATCCTGAGCCTTGATGGCGTACCCGAGGAAAGTAAGTTTATTTACTTTGAGAATTCTCATTTTCTCCTAGAAAGCATCACGAAGGTCCCACGCGGCCTCCCATAGCTTATTTGTTCCCTTTGAAGGGTTGTAATGACCTCGTCTATCTAGAATTTTCCACGCCTACCACTTGCCTATCTAGAGAATTATATGATCTTCATTCCTTTTTTAAGAAGTCTTTAAAAACAATGTGAAACATAAAGTATATACAGAGAAAGTCATGTGATACAAATGCAAGGTAGAGTTACAGCGCAAACACCACCGAAGAGGGTGAGACAGAACCCGGCCATAGCCTAGAAAATACTTCCTGCTGCCTCCCAGGCCCACCGCTCCAGAGGGAAGCATTGTTTGGATTTATTGTGATAATTATGCCTTTGTTTTTCCACCACCCACGTACACATCCCTCAATGCTAGTTTAGTGTTGCTTCTTTTCTGTTAACATCTGATCTGAAGGGAATTATACCATGCAGATGCTTTTGTTTCTTGCTTCTTATGCTTGAAGCGCTAATGTTCATTCACACTGTGGCCTGGAGCTAGTCTGTTCTTCACTTTATTGCATTACGGTGGTGGTAAGACCATCTCACGGATTATTCATTTCCCACGAGTGGCCATTTGGACAATATCCAGCCTGTGGCTACTATAAACACTGCTCCCCCAACAAGCTTACACAGCTTCCTCCACATGTGTGAGCTTTCTGAGGGTCTGCAGTAGAACTGTAGGGGTCACAGGGCATGTTTACTCTTTTTTTTTTAAGCCAGTCAAATTTAGCAGTGGGGGGGGGTGGTATACCAACTTTAGTGACACTAATGTTAATAAGTTCTGATAACCCACTGCCATCGGACCAGCCCGTCTTATTCTATTTATGAAGGGTTAGGGTTAGGATTATGAATCAGCCTTTGGCCACTTTTCTTTCCAAAATGATTGTAACTTCTGAGCTTTGGTCTTTCACCTGTCTTTGCTGGTGTCTTGTTCGGAGAACATGTTTGCAGTTGGGATTCCAGCCTCCAGCCCTGCATAGCCCCCCTTCTTAGAGCCAGGCATCGTTTCCTCTCCCAGGGAGAAATGTTTTTTCTCGTGGTACTCCAATAGGAAGTGTTTGTAACATTTTGAGAGGTCTTCTCTATGGAAGGTGCAGAGAATGGACCACACATATTCAGTTGGGGGTGGGGTGGAAGGCAGGGCAGACCCTTCCTGGGAACAATACAGGATGAGAATTCGGATCATGGGCTTTTGATCAGATCAATCTATAAGCTGCCACTTGTTGTCTAAGTGCTCTTGGGCAAGTTATTTAACCTGTGCTTTAGTTTCTTTGTGAATGGGAATAATTACATTTACAGCATGTAGCTATAAATTTGACTCTAAGAGGTTGGAAAGGCAGAAAAGGGAAGGGTGGCACTGAGAAAGCGTTGGTGTTACGTAGTGAGGCTGACTCCGGGCTTGTGCTCAGTGTTCGTGCTGGGCTCACCTTACCCATCCTTCCTGGAAGGGTGGCCAGCAAGAGCAGGCAGGGGAGACAATGCCCGCAGCCACAAAACAGAGTGCAGTGCACTGGCCCATTGGGAATCGAACCCACAGCCCTTCACATGCTGCTCAAGAGAGCTCAGCAGCTTAAGTGACACGAGAAAGGGAATGGGGTGGAAATGCTGCAGAATAGAACAGGAAATCAAGAGGACACCGCAGGACAACTCATTAGCGGCTGCTCTCCACAAGGTCGTCTCTTTGTGCAACTTACTGAATTTATTGTACAGGCGAGTTGGCTGGAACGGAAACCATTCCCAATCACCAGAGGAACCACGTCCAATCTTTCCTTTCCCTACCGGCTCTCCATTTATAACACCGGACTTTTGTCACTCTCATTCTTGGTTTTAGCAGGTAGTTTTCCAGACTCAGGCAAATACAGGTGCAGCAATTCAAAGCTGATCGCTCCTGCCCTAATTAGGGATCTGAGAAGCATTTATCAAAACCATTCTCAAGATACTAACATTCCTCTCAACTTGCCTTCTAGCTACTACCTTTGTGAAGTCATGGGGCTTGGGGTTCTGATTCTCTGACTCCCATTTAAAGCTAAGTCCAAGGCGATTTTTGGAAAGCAGAATTTCCAACTGGACACTGATACCTGATCTGAATGTTGTGGACCAATTATGGGACTACCAGTGGGCCCTGGGTTTTCTGGTGATTTTTTTGCGGGGGTTCCTAAAGCATTAATAAGTTGTTACACAGCCACATTTAGCAAATCCCTCTGTTATGCTTCTTTTCAAGTAATTCTGAGGAACTTGGGTCTGAGCATATTACGGGAGGTGGAAAAAAAGTTGAAGTTCAGAGAGGTGCTGAAGGACCAGTGATGTGGAAAGACAATATTTGTTCACTCCATGTCAAAGTAGCAGAGCCAGATGGTTTAGTTACAATTTTTTGTTTCAGTAACATGCATCATCTGGTAATATACTGCTACAGGAAAGGGCTGATTTGTATAATCACTTTCAGACCTTGACTTTAAAAGTAAGCAAATCTTTAACAGAAAAAAGGAAAAGCCCTTTGCATTTTCATTTGAATCAGTAACTTTGGCACAAACTCATGAAGGAGATCCAGGTGCCAAGAGTATTTTTAGAGAAGCAGATGCCAGCTCCTAATGAGAGGATGTCACATTCTGTAAGTGCCCGTACATTGGAAACCAGGGGCCTGAATAGCCTCCGTGGCAGCATCCATTTGATGCTTCAATGCCAACTGAAGCTCCAGTGTTGGCTTTGCCCACCAAATGTGAAAGCAACTCTCATGGCTGGTACTGGCACCAATGTGACAATGGCAACAAGTATTATTGGCACCAAAAGGAGGAGTCTAGGGAAGAGGCTGACTTAGTAGGAGCAAAGGATCGAGCATCTACCCAATATTTCTCAACCCATGTCTGCATCTTCTTTTGTAGCCTAAAAGGAAAAGTCAGATACAAACGGAGCAATGTGGTCCGTTCTGATCTTTACCTCTCATCCGTCTGCTCCCTGGCCAAACAGCCCCCACAGCCCATCAGTGGTCAGTGGCCCAGCTTCCTCTCTAGAGGTGATCGCTTCGGGAACCACATAGCAGAGCTGCCTGGCTGTCAGGAATGGGAGGGTGGGCTTTGTCTGGCTTCCAGCCTTCTTAATGTCTGGCTGCAAGCATCCATGAAGTCACCTCCCTAATTTTCATGTGTCTGTGGTGGGATAGTAATGAGTCAAGGACTGGAGGGCTTTTTTCTACAGGCCTACTTCTTTTAGAAAATTGCTTGGACTGGGAAGCTTGGTCATATTATGGTGTTTTTTTGTTTTGTTTTATGTCTTTTTGAAACAGGGTCTCACTATGCAGTTCAGGCTGGCCTTGAGCTCACTCTGTAGCCCAGGCTGGTCTCAAATTTGCAATGATCATCCTGACTCAGCCTCTCAAGTGCTGGGATTACAAGTGTGTGTCATCACATATTAAGTTTAAAAAGGAAAAGCTTCCTAGGTGATTCAGTTCCATATCTTTACAAACTAGCTTTAGTGGGCATAGGAATGAGTTGCTTGAAACTTTATTTCCACTTTCTAAATATAGATAATAACTCCCACTCCCTTTATCTTCTAAGAATAATAGCTAAGAGTAACCATTCAATAAATGTTACTGTATGTGCCAGGCACTGCCCTGAAGCTTTGCATGTAATAACCACCTTGTGTCCTTTTACAGACTGGAAACTGATTTACAGAGTTGAAGTAACTTGTCCAAGGTCACAAAGCTAGGGGTTGGATTTGAAGCTAGGCAGTCTGGACCTATCATGTTTTCAATCATTATTTGTAACACTGTAAGGATTAAGAGCATTTCACTTTGCTAGTAAGCTTTTTAACAGTGACAGACATATTTGCTTGGCTCCACTGACTCTGGGCTACAGTGGCACAGAAGATCATGGCAGATGAAGTCTGTTTACCTCATGGTACCAAGCAGCAAAGACAGAGAGTGCTGGGGTCCCACGAGTCCCTCCAAGGACACACTCCCAATGACCTGACCTCCTCCCACTAGAAGAGGCCCCGACTCTTAAAGGTTCTACCTCCTACCAGAACCGTGGGCCAGGCTAACCTGCTAATGTAGGGGCCTTTGCAGGGCCTTTAAGACCCAAACCATAACACTTTGAAACATTACAGGTGCTTTAAGCAGCAGTTGAATTACATTCCTGGAGGAAGGAGCCCACATCTGAGGCATCTGCTGCTTAATAACCACTCATATGTAATTTTACTCAAGGAACTTGGAAATCCGATGTTCTTCTAGGATGCTGACCTTAGCTTATCTGAGTGGCACACATAAAGCAACTCCTCTAACTGAAAAGGGGAGAATCTTTGCAAGCCTGGTGCCTCACGTGGGGTGTGGTTCCAGGTGACAAATTAAGCAAATGTTGGCTCAGTTGAGGTCCTTGCAATAAAAGGTGTTTTTGAAATGTGCTTGTGCTATTCATCCTCTACAAAATGGCTTGAATCTAGTTGTTTAGAATGTCAAAACTTGCCATCCAGCAAGTTAAGGAACTTAGAAAGAAATGGAATATAAGTGGGGTATTAAAGCTTTGAAGATAAATAACAAAAAGAACTCAGTTATGTAGCCATGCCATCTTCTTTCCCGGGTTAGCGAAGAGAGAGGTGGGTGTGTGGAATGAAACCAGCCTATTTAATATACTTCTCGTCTGTTGTGGTTTCTTATTGTAGGCTTAGTGACCCGAACAAGCTGCTTGCCGTGCTCAGGTGATTTTTTTTAATGGCTGAATTTCTCATCCGTCTGCAACAACCCTGGCACATTTAAGCATGCATTTAAATGTGGCTCACAAACAGGTTTTTCCATCACTTTAGATGACAAAATAGTTACTGTGTAACACGTTAGGCTTGTATTCCTGGCATTGGATCTAGTAAAGCATTAAATTCATCTCAAGCTCAACAACATATTCTTAGGCCTGCCTATAACTTCCAACCAGCATTGAAAGAGCTGAGGCATCATGCAGGATCTCCAAGGGTTTCTTGAGTAAACTGGTTACTCTGTAATATGGCAGGATCTCCAAGGGTTTCTTGAGTAAACTGGTTACTCTGTAATATGGCAGGATCCAAAATTAGGACAAAGAATTCCCATGCAGACTGTGTAAGAAGCAGTGAGGTCTGTGGAAAAGCAACAGCCTAAGTGCATTACCCAGGCCTGTTGTTCCCACTGGGGCCTTTGTAGATGAAGCAGGTGCCCCGTGTGAATTGCTATAGGAAGGCCATCAACAGTCTTTCTAACGCTGCATTCTCACCCTCTCCTGACACGTTCGGAAAAATGTTGCCTCTATTGCCTAGTTGTGCTGGTGCTAGGAGACTGGTTGGCCTTGCTTTAGGAGCAGTGGGGAAGGAACCTTGAGACTCTTGGACTGGGAAAGCAGGAAAACAGACCAACAGCAGCCATGTACAGTTGGAGCGTGGACTGAGGAGAACCAGGAAGGAAGGTAAGCCCCTCCTGGGCCAGCCTAATGCCAGTAGTCTGAGCAACTACTTAGAGGCCAACAATATGCAATACAGTAACTACTGGAGATTTCCTACAATCTTATCACTGCTTCATTTTGTTGTTTTACTCCTGTTTTGGTTGTTGCTATCGGGGATCGAACTCATGACCTTGCACTGGCCAGGCAGGCACTTAAGCCACTGAGCTAAATCCCCAGCCCTGTTTTATTCCCTTTAAAATGAAAATGCATTAAAGAAAAAAAGAGGAGCAGGGTGTCTGCTTGATAGGCTCTCAAAAAGCTTCCAGCGAACAGACATAGGAACTGCGTGAGAACAAGCCCTAAACCGGGATTAAAGCAACGCACGTGCACACACACACAAAGTGGTCCCTGGTCATCCACACTGCAGTTACTGTTTTTAAGAAATGCCTTCCACATGAGGTGTCCAAAGTCTTAGTGCAGTTCTCCGCTCTCTGGGCTATGGCAAGGGGTGGTCGGCCCCCACTTCCAAACCCCAACACCTGGATGATACAAATGGTCTTGAGGCATCATCAGCTAAATGAGCAGTCCAGGTTAAGCCATTTACAGAGGCTAATTAGTCAACCAAGGGCCTATGCTGAGAGCTCAAAGGAAACTAATACAGTATCACAGCGATAGCCCTGGAATGTACTCAAATGGAAGAGTTTGGGCTGGAAATACTTTAGAAAGAACTACACCACCCCGCCCTCCTTCAAGTAATCCAAGCTGTGTTAAATGTTCAAGGTATGACTAACCAAGACGTACTTCACTGAAACTTCTTTCAGTTTGAACTAGCTGATATCATTTGGAATTAACAGATTTTATTCAGTGACTAGAAGGAATTCTTGATTACCATTATAGCTCTTTTGTGTGAACTGCTGCTGGGTTAATGTCACAGGCTCAGATAAGAACATCAGATAAGGTAAAGGCTTTATTATTCAAGATAAGCTCAAGGGCTGACACTAGCACAGGCAGGAATAATCACACTGTCTCATTACATTTGACTTTTGGTATCCAGTGGAAGTATTAGTTTTCCAAGTAGGACATGTGGTACCCAGTGAGATACTTGGCAGGTTTGGACAGCTACGTTTACCCCAGTTTCACTCCAAGCACTATCAGAAGAGGTGCAGAGTTACAAACACAATTCCAAACTCTACTCAACTGGTCCTTCTTTATCATGGCCCTCCCCTCACCCCACAGTGGCTTTCAAAACAACAGACAGCATTATTGGCAGGAATTGGTCATAAATAACACATGGCTAACACTTAAGAACCAAACACCAAATGTCAGTACATTTCCTGAACAGTCAGTTAGGGCTATGGGGTGCTTGGCTTTGATCACTGTAATTCCGACTTCCTTTTAACTTTCTCCTTGGATAAAGCCATGGAGAGCCTATGCTTAACATATGTAGTCATGGTAGTTACAAACTCAAGACTGCAAACGAATGACAAGTTTTCATTAATAATAGATTTTAAGATAGGAGTAAAGTCTATCAGTGCTTTGGGATATGAAGAAAATGAATCAAGTTTCATCATTGGAGGAGAACTCATCCCAGTACATAGTAAGTAAAGCTTTTCAAGAGGCCACAAAGTGAAACTATGTAACAAGCTTATTCCAAAATGACCCATGTGAGTTGTTATTTAAGGGAGACCTTTAAGATATTTTGCAGTTGATACACTCTGTTTTAAGTAGTATCTGGAGAAAGTTTTGTGTTTTTTGCTCAGGGGTACAGTGGAAAGCTATTGTTTTTATAAACATAACAAGAAAGCCAACATTTATACTTTTAGGTTCTGGATTTTCAACTCTTAAGATTATTAATCTTTTATAAAGTTATTAAGTTTAAGATTTGAGGGCTGGAGATTTAGCTCGGCGGCATAAGCACCTGCCTTGCAAGCAGGCAGTCGTGAGTTCGATCCCTGGTACCTATAAAAAATGAAAAAGACCAAAAAAAAAATAAAAATAAAAAAATCTGAGGGCTGGGGATTTAGCTCAGGGGTGCAAACACTTGCCTGCTAAGTGCAAGGCCCTGTGTTTGATCCCTGGGACGAAAAGAAAAAAGAAAAAAGAAAAAAAAAAAGATCTGATGACTTTTAAAAAAACTGCAGCTTCTAGAGAATTGAGGACTGCACTTAAATTCAAGCCCAACCCTTCTTTAGTGTCTGATTACTGATTTTATAAAACATCTTCCTCTAGTAAGTAGCAAAATCAAAACCTACAGAAGTAAGGCTGGGTTGCTAAGAGGACTGCTTAGGAAAAATATGGGAACCTGCAGTTTCCGAGGGGAGTTCTGTTTGGCAAAAAAGACAAACCCAGAGTTCTTCTGTTGTCCTCTTCCTCACAGTTTGCATGTAAAGGCAAGATGACTTTAGCTCAAAAGGTTATATTTTAACACTGAACCAGTATAAAATGTACTTATCTGAATGTCACATTTTTATACATACTTAAAAAACACACAAAAGCACAGAGAAAGATCATATATTTCAAATATGATGATGCTGGTGAGGACGGGCGGAGGCAGGGCTGTCCACGGGGGACTCCTCCAGCGGCCACGGCCCTATGTGCTCTCCACGCAAGCTCTCTGGGGCGCGCTCCACTGTGCGCACCAGCGTCGGGACCAAGGACGGGTGTGGGCCGTACTTTTGGCTCCGTGAACTGGTTATGTCTTCCCTGGAGCAAGGAAGGGTAATTTAAAAAGCGAAGACTCTTCTTTCAAAATGCTGCTGAGTAACAAATTTACTTCATGAAGACCAGAAAGAGTCATTCCTTTTCCTTTGGGGTTAGAGTTCAGTTAACCCACTTGAGTCAGAAGCTATAATTCCGTTGAGTGTTCGGGACTGCAGAAGTCATCCTGGGACTTTCTGTGGAAGTACGTACAGATTTTCCTCATGGAGCTGGGAGTGATGGTGACCTAGAAAAAAATTCACCTTTCAGAGACTGCCCAAGACAAAGTTCAGAGTTTCAGTAGCAAGTGAGCACTACAGTGCCTTTTCAGTCCCGAATACTTTTGACAGCAATGTCTCTTTTGGTTGATTTATCATAAAATAGTTTATAAAAGTATTTACCAGTGAAGACTCCTTGTAGGAATTAACACAGTCACAATCACCATCCTTTGAAATGGATCAACTGAAATCCCTCAATTGATAAACCAGCTAAGTATTTCTCTATTATCATCACAAAAAAATTACTTTAAAAAACCTTTACCTTCAGACAGGCATGATGGTGCATGCCTGTAATCTCAGTTTGTGCAAGGCTGAGGCAGGGGGACTGCCATGAATTTGAGGCCAGCCTGGGCTACTTAGTGAGTTAATGGTTTGGTTGAACTACATAGTGAGACCCTGGTTCAAAAAAAACAAAAGCAAAACAACCTTTGCTTCAAAAAATAAAGACCAAGTCAGGTGTGATGGTACATACCTGTAATTCCAGCACTTGAGAGGCTGAGGCAGGAGGAGTGCTGCAAGTTCAAGCCCAGTCTGGGATACAAAGTGAGTTCAAGGCCAGCCTGCACTGCATAGAAAGCCTGCCTCAAAAAAACTAAACAGACACATACATACCGACCGGTACACCATTCTTAAAGCTTTTCTTTTTTTCAGTTGTTTTTTTTTTTTTTTGACATTGGGTATTGCCATGTGGCCCAGGCTAGCCTTGAATTTGCTGTTGAGGCCAGGCTGGTCATAAACTCATGATGATCCTCCTGCCTCAGTCTCCTGAGTGCTGGTATTACAGAAATCTGCCACCACAATCAATTTGAAACTTTAAAAATTTATGTATTAGTGAAACTAATTCATGAAATTACTTTCTTGCTAATACATAGCTGAGACCAGCATCTCTGAAAAAAATAGGATTTTTGCAGAGGGGCAAAGAGTAGTCACGACTCCGAGCGGGAAGGAAAAGCACTGGGCACTGTTTTCCTCCCACATTGCGCAGCATGGCCTCGGGTAAAGTCTGTACGCTGACCAACTTTAAACTACTTCTAGTTTGTTTTTCCTAAAATTATATGACAGGTTTCATAACAGGTGAGCGATATGAACACCTTTTAAACTAGCCCTGGCCTAAGAGTATCCAGCTTCCATACTTTAAAAGGGCAGACATGCAGTCTATGATTCTCGGACTTTCTCTCCCCCTGCCACTTTCCCCAGCACAGAACAAGAGCTATCATGAGCCACCACGGCAGCTTCCCTACCTCACCTCCCCCAAATTGTACGCTGACTAAGGTAAGCTTTCTCCTCCCTCTGCATGGGGCCTGTAGCTCACCTCGTGCTCATGGATCCTTCTGCCTCCGCCTGATAATAAATCATATGCTAGTTAAGGATGGCAAAGGATTTCTGCCAGCCACATCTGCTATTGACATTATCTAATTAAATATTATGTCAACCAATGAAATATGAGGTCTAAAAAGATAAACTATGCTCAAATGCAGAATGTTTCAAAGGCTGGATATATAGCTATTTGAGGCTAAGGTGGGAGAATCACAAGTCTGAGGTGAGCCTGGGCAGCTCAGATCTTGGGTTTAAGTCCCTATAGCCTCCCCCAGCTCCCTAGAAAGCTAACGGTGCTAAGAACACTGGTGTGGGCAACACAACTGTAAAGGACTGTAAAAACCCAGAAGAATGGGGCTGGGGATTTAGCTCAGTGACATAAGCGCCTGCCTTGCAAGCAGGCAGTTGTGAGTTTGATCCCCGGTACCGATAAAAAAGAAAAAGACAAAAAAAAAAAAAAAAAAAAAAAAAAAGACCCAGAAGAATTCCATGTTTTAAATTGCTTTGTAAGTATCTAAGCTTCATTTTATTTTAAAGAATAAAATGTAATACAAACTGAAAATCTACCACTTAAGGGTGCTGGCACCCTTCCCAAGAATGACAGCTTTATCTACTGAAAAGGAGAGCATGCTTCTCACGAGAAGGAGAGGAGAGATTTCTGAATTGATGTTGCAGAACATGAGGAATATTTTATTTATTTTTATTGTGTGAGGAAAGGTTTAGTGAATCCGGCAATGAGACCGAGGAGCAGCAGCCCTGCCAGAGCTGCCAGGTACAGCGCTGGTCACCAGGCACACTTGAGTTTCAGACAATTTAACTAGCAAGCTTTTATAAGTCCCACACAAATTTGTCCTGTATTCTTGGGTGTTAAGTTGGGTGACCTCGAAAATAAACAGATTTACTTGTCTTCTTTCAGGGTTCTGCCTTGGAAAGCGGTCTGAGTGTGTCTGGACCTCTTCAAGTTACAAACCCCGTCCCCGGCCAACTGCCCGACTGCCCGCGGACTTACCAGGCCCGGTGAGGTCTTCCCGTTCTGCCTCCTGGAGGCGGCTGTCTGGGAAGAGGGGCTGCGCGGGGAGGAGTTCTCGGCCTTCCGCTTGGCTGCCATGGCCAACAGCCAGTTCTTATTCTCGGGGGAGCTGTTCTCCTTGCCCACCACCTCCGAGCCCTCGGTGCACGGCCGCAGCGGGAGGGAGAGCGCGGCGCAGCCCTCGGCGGCTGCATAGGGGCTGACCGGGGAGGGCGGCTCCGAGGTGCTCGGGGCGGCGCCCTCGGCCTTGCCCGGCTTGGCGGGCCCCAGGCTGTCCTTGCCCAGGTCCTCCTGGTTCCCCGCCAGGCAGCACAGATCCAGGTGGAGGTGTTCCACTTGGCCGTCGAGCTCGGTCACGCAGTTGCAGCTCTTCACACACTTCTGCTTCACGCTGTCCAGACAGCTGGAGTCCAGCCGCCGCTTCACCCTGCTCCGGGACTCAGAGCCCGAGTCTGCCCCCGACGACTTCTGGCTCACGGGGATGAGGGCTTTTCTTGGAGACGACACGGATGCAGCTTTGGTCTCAGACGCAGGTGGAGTGATGGGCGGTGACGAGGAAGGCGTTCGGGTCACCCAGTTTCTAAGTGACATCTTGAAAGATGACAGCGGCTTGGGGGAGGCAGAAGAAACCGTGCCTCTCCTGCTGCCGGGGGAGCGTGCCTTGGCAGGCGGGGTTCTGATGGGGGCCGTGGGGGTGTTGGAGGGCAGCGGGAGGTCCCCGGCACAGCTGGGTGCACACGCTGCGGACGATGGGGAGGACAGCACCGGGCTGCTCTTCACCCTGGGCGCCTTGGCGGGGGTGCTCTGGGTGCTCGGCACAGCTACTGAAAAACCAAGAGGGCGGCATGCGAATCAGAAGCGAAAGCAACAGCAAAATCCCTGAATTCGCATTAAGGCCTATTTTCCAGTGAGGTTATTTAATCAATGGATCTTTATCATACTCTTTCAGCACTTTCCTGTCCCTTCATGGCCAGCTTCCCAAGTTCCCCCCAATACAGTGTAACTTGTAAAAGTATAGCTAATACAAAGAAAGCTCGGCACCCAGGTTAATCACTGTGCGCACCGATCCTGCACTTCACACTGCACACCTCATTTGCACACAGGAGACCATAGCGTGTATACTGTCACAAAGCCTGTAGTCATTGATCATTTTTAAAATGTTCTAGTATATATATTTAATGGGGACAAGGTGATGTTTTGACGCATGTATATATTACAGAAAGACTAAACCAAGACAACGGACATATTAATCACGTCCCCTTTCTATACTCAGAAATTTCCAATAGTGTGTATCATGCATTATTAACTTTGGTCACTGTGCTGCAGGACAGACCTTGAACTTGATTTAAAATGCTTTGACCAACATCTTCCTGTTTGCCTTCTTCTTCCCCCACATCCCTCCTTGTAACCACGAATCTACTCTGCTTTTGAGTCCAGCTTTTTTAGAGCCAATGTAAGTGAGATCATGAAATATTTTTATTTCTGTGCCTGGCTTGTTTTTCTGAATGTCTTCCAGATTCACCCATGTTAATGCAAATGATATAATTTCATCCTTTGTAAAGACTGAACAGGATTCCACTGTGAATATAAGCCACATTTTAATCCCTTTGTTTGTGCATGCACGTGAAGGCTGATCCTGGATCTCGGCTTCTGTGCCTGGCTGCAGTGAACACTGGTGTGCACGTGTCCCCTCTGCATGCTGACTCCATCTCCCTTGGCTATCGCCCCAGCAGTGACAGCTGGGCTCATTTATCTTTTTGATAAAAGCCAACAGGTAAAATGATCCCTCATTGTGGTTTTAATCCCCCCCCCCCGCCTGTTATTAGTGATGAGCATTTTCCACATAGCTAAATGTTGGTCATTCACAACCTGCTTCTTAACCTATCATGAACATTTCTCCTATACTAACACAGATTCACATTTCTACCATTTTAACAGGGGACCAGCATTCTAAGGTACTGGTACTCTATAGCATATTAACAAGCACTTCGGAGAGGGTAACAGTAAGCCAGGCTGTTAAGCAGAGCCGTCATGAGAACTGTGTACAATCTTGATGGATGCTAGGGAAAAAAAGAGGCCCTGTATATGGAAGCACATGGGTCTAAAACATGGCCTGGTCCCTTCCTGTGTGACTGGGCACAGCTGCTCATCTCTAATTCATCTTTCCACTTGGATTAAACACAGTTCCTGAACAGACAGGTCTCTAAGTACCCTTGTCCCTTTGTTTACATACAACAGTAAATACAGGGGGTGGTACTGCATTGGGGATGGAACTCCGGCCCTTTACACTGAGCTACATCCCCAGTCCTTTTTCATTTTGATACAGGGGCTCCCTAATTTGCCCAGGCTGGAACTTGTGATCTTCGTGACTCAGCATCCCAGAGTACTGGGATTACATAATCAGGACCACCATGCTTGGCCAGGCAAACTTTTATAAATGTGCTTCTCAGGCTCCCCTATAGACATGTTATTTTCTTATTTTCCTTTTGAACTTTCTAAAACAGTGTTCTTGTCTTTAAATAACAAAAAAGGGTTTCTATTTCTCAGTCTTTGAATTGTAAACCTGATATTCAATTCAGTTTAGTTACTGAATTGTATTTATATGCAACTCAATTTAGGATGCACTCATATGACAGTGCCACCACTCTTTTAGCAGGAATGAAGACTTAAGTAGTAACTCAGCTAGTTTGTTATCCTACCCTACCCTCCTATGCTTTTCACCTCTTAAGCAGTCTGGCCTTAAAACAGAAAGTCTACAAACTGACTTTTACCTAAATACTTCTTGCCAACCACACATTTAGAGCCAAGCAAAGTAATTCTCCTTTGGAAAAGACTTCACAAAATGACTGGGCTATGGAGCCCTGTGCAGGCCTCCCCCTCCTGCTCCAGACCTGGATTACACTTGCTATTTCAGGCAGAAAGGGAAGTTCTCCCCACTACACTCTTCAGTGCAGGCCCACATTCACTGCACTGCTGCCACAGCCATTTGCTCCATTTAAATGGGTCGAAGCAGACATTTAGGCAAAAGTCCTAAAATAGTGTGAGTGTATAATACAGCAGCTCTTAAGGTGGGACTGGAGAAGGAATAGGGAAAAATAGGTTAAGTTTCTGATATTTGCATGGCACCACTGGGAGTCTTTACTAAAGGCCAGCAGAAATCTGATGTTAGAAAATTGGGAAATTTCCTGTTTCTTTTGGATGTGATGGCCCAGGGGTTGGGGTGAGAGTGGAGAGTCAAAGAGAAGATTTTATTGACACTGAAGGTTAGCAAAACTTTGTGTCAAATTTAAATCTTTTACTTTTTAAACAGATTATAAAATATGGAATTTCATGGTTAAAAAATTCTAATAAAGGGGAGAGGTAAAAAGTCCTCTTTTTATGTGATTTCACTCATATTCCTGGGCACAACTACTATTTTCTCTGTGCTTATTAGCCTATACAAAGTTACCTGAATGTAGTACCTTTAAAAAATGCAAGCGGCCCTACTGGGTTTTACACACATAAATGTACACGCTCTGCCACTTGCTCTTTTGACTTTCTCTCCACTGCTCTCCTAGAGATGCACCGCACTGTTTCTGACAGTTGAGCAGCAAGCACCACAGTGGCCTTCACACTCAAACATGACACTCAGTGCACTCAGTGCCCAAGCAACTCAAACGGACCAGTCTCCTGTAAGCCCCAAAAGAGATCTGACGTGACGCGCAAGAGAGGCTGGACCACTGCCCCGTGGGCTTTTTGGAAGTCAGTTCCTTGGAGGAACTAGCGAGCTTTGCAGCTTATTTCTAGATGAGGTTAACCACCCGCCTCACTTCGCCTTCCCAGCCTTATCACTAAGGCTACCTTGGGATCCTGTTGCAGCAGATTCCTTGCTGCTTCCTGAACGCTGTGTGCACTGCCACAACTCTATCTTTCTTCACATGGCTTCCTCTTCATGTTTCAAGGCTCGGATTATCGTGTGACCCCTGCTCCGAAGCATTTGCACACTTCCTTCCTCCTCATCAGTAAAGCTGTCCTCTCCCTGAGGAAATGGGGTCTCAAAGCCCCTGGTTATTAGTTAGGAGAAATGTTACAGTGTATCAGAGCTCACATTTGCCTCCTAGACTAGACTGCAAGCTTAGACAGTGGTGCTCATCTTTAAGCCCCGTGCTCCCATGTGTGTTAAATTTCATCACTGCTGCGAAGAGTAAGAGTGAGGTTCTAGGCATTAGAAAGCTGACTGAGAGGAACATAATTCTCAAAATGGCAATGTGGTTAGCCGCAGCCAAACTGTTGCTGGAAGTTGGCTTAGGGGATCAAATGGCCAGTGTGCCAGTCAGCACCCAAGTCGGGGCTCTGCAACACTCTTCAGAGTAATCTTCGCATCACTCAAACATGCAGAAATTAACCTAACCCTGGCGTGCTCTCATGCTGAACCTTGCAGTTATTTTAGGGCCTAAAGGAGGCTGTGTGCCACGGCAGAGTGGTTTCAAGCACCTGTAGTGGAACAAACCACAAGGGTCTGAACTCTGGCTCTGCTGCAACTTCCTAGCTGTGCAACCTGGGGCAAGCCTACTTCCTTGCTCTTCAGTTTCAATGTCTTAGGAATCAAGTGAAATAATCAGAGCAGGCCTTTAGAACAGTTATACTGAGACTCACGTTATTATCATGGTACAGACTGATCAAGCTGTGCAATCTTTTTAGTGACTTGGTTTCTAAAATGAAGAATAATTAATAACAAACTCAAAACAGCTAGTTAAAGCAAGATTTTTTCATCACAGATTTTTAAAATGTTTAGATATAGCCACTAACACAGGAATCCCACCTGTAAGTATCTTAATGAGAATCAGAACCGTAAATTAGAGGAACAAACCCACCCTACTTTTCTTGTAGTCCTGAGACTGAACTCAGTAACTGAGCTACATCCCTAACCTTTTATCGGTGTTCTCAATTTTGAGAGAGGGTCTTGCTACATCACTCAGTTGCCTAGGGTGGGCTTAAACCTGCAATCCTCCTGCCTCAGCTTCCCAGAGTGCTAGTGCAAGCCCAGCCCAATTTTTACAAAATACTGTAAATGAAATTTCTAACTACAACAGAATGGCTATTTAAACTACAGAATATTCATTCAATGGAGTATTTTAAATAGTGTAGCAAAAAAAAAAAGCCGAAAATTTCTTGTTCAGAAACAAAAACCTCAAAAAATCAAAATGCATGTATAGTAAAACTATGGTTCAGTCAAAAAGAATCTCTATGTACGATGGGGCAAAAAGCATATGAAAATGCTACTTAAAATAGCATAAAATATGAGTAAGTAGAGGGAATACTGATGGCATTTTCCTCATGATTTTCTTTTCTAGATTGTCCAAATTTGGAAAAAGTATATAGAAAGACATCTCTAATTCATGGATCAGAAGATTTAATATTAAACCAAAATTCTCAAAATCAATGCACTTATCAAAAGCTCAACTGGATATTTTGCAGAAATTAACAAGCTGATTCTAAAATTTGGTAATGCTCACAATACTCAAACCAACCTAGAAAAACAAGAAAACTGAAGGACTCAAACTGATCACCAAGTTCTAAACAGTCATCAAGACAATGCAGTACCAGCCTTAAGGACAGACGTACTGATTAATGGAGTAAAACTGAGAGTTCAGAAATAAATCCTCACATTTATGTTTAAGTAACTTTTGGCAAGAGTGCCAAGGTAGTTTAGTAGGGTAAAGAATAATGTTTGCGGGGGCTGGGGATTTAGCTCAGCGGCATAAGCACCTGCCTTGCAAGCAGGTGGTTGTGAGTTCGATCCCTGGTACCGATAAAAAAGAAACAGACAAAAAAAAAAAAAAAA